TCAAATTTTACTTTGAGAGGAAACATTAAAAAAGTGTATCCTGAATCTTATGAATGGTTCAAAAGGACTTCAGATAAGATCCTGATAAAAAAACCCATAAAATCAGTAATGTTGAAGGAAGTGATATTTGGAAAAATGGATTCAGAAATGATGTTGGAAGGATTTGCTAACTAGAGCAATTGCTAATCACCATGCTTGTTGGTCTTGCACTTAATATGACAATCCTGCATTTCTTCCTAGACTGGTATTTTAGTTTATTAGGATTTGTTCCACATCCTGAATGCAATAACTTCCTAAGATGGGAAATATGGGGAACTAAAGACGGCTGTGAGAAAACATTGAGTAGACCAGTTCCTCTGAATCTCTTTTAATAAGAGAATGGAAAATCATTTATTTGCTTCACACAGTTGCTCCTTGTGAGGAGACTGCAAGACAGCAAGTTTCTGCAAGTTTCAGCATTCAGACATTACAGATTACCATCTCATTTGCAACTGTAGCAGAGACTTTTAAAGGACTGCTTCTAAGCTATGACAGAACTTTGGAATTATAGGTTTGAAAATGCTGGGTAGGTCTATCTTTAAGCTTGAATGAAAGAAAATTTTGATCATAAGTTTTAAGAATTTAAAGAATCTGAAATAAACACCAAAGAGCAAAATAAGATTTCAATTTCAGAATGATATAAACAGTAAAAATCCAGATAAAATTGGAATACTGAAACTTTTACAAATACAGGGAAATAGATCGATTTTGGTTTTTACAAGACAATATATTTCATGATTTTAAAAACTGGACACTAGATGGGACTATGCTTTTTAGTTAGAAGAAAGACATACAGGCCTATACGATGATGGAAAACATTATGATTATAAAAATACTGAAGGAAACTTTTGAAGAATGGAATCAGAAACCAATAGCCTAAATATCAACTATGTCAGTAATAATGTCTGCTTCTGTTTATGTCCCAAAGATATTACTAAATAAATTTCAGATGTAGAACAAATCTTATCTGACAAAATAGAGTTTATATTGAAAGTGGATTTACAATTGATAGGTGGAAAGAATGATTTAGAAATGGATGTTTCACTGAATCTACAAAAAAAAAACTGGCTGAGGTATTGAAATATAAAAGTGAAATATAAATGACAAAGCAAGAAAGTGATTTAGATTTTTTCCCCCTATTGGATTTACAAAAGAAGCTTGTTAAAACTTTGAAGAACTCTGTGCTATGATGCAAAAAAAGAAATGAAGACAAATCAAATCCTACAACAATAGCTGAATAAATTAAAGATTAAGCCTGTTAGAAGTAAAAGGAAGGAATACAAAGTTGGTTTATTAGATCAAGATTAAAGCAAGGTACGATGGTACTTCTAGTTATTTTTTCTGAACTTTCTGCTGACACCAGGACTGAAAAGATGTTTGTGAATTTGTCTATAGATAAAAAATGGGACATGGGAAGAATAAATAAATATTTGTAACTTTAGAGAGCAGGAGAAATAACTACAATAATCCACTGCCTATACTTTTGACAGATTAGATTTCATATGTAGGGAAGACAGGATAAGGGAGACAACAATTTCAATATAATGGGTGAATAGGAAAAATATAAACTTGCCATTTTAATCATATGCAAATTGTATTAAGCCACTTACAGAATTTACTGTACAAAGATGAGTGTGACTAGATGCTTTTCAGATGCATCACACCAGGAGGTTCCATACTGGTAGCAAAGTGAGGAGAAAGGCATTTCTAAAAAAATCAAGTATGGCACTGCTTTTCATGTCCATTTCATTCTATCAAACAGTAATTTATTTTGAAATAAAATTTGAGAGGAGCCCTACTGCAGTAGCTCAACAGCCCGTTTAATCCAGCACTTTTTGTCATAGTTACAATGCTTGACCAATTTTGGGGGAGGAAGCTTACAAACTAGGACAGGAGGATGGTAGCTCTTCTACACTGTTATTCTCTGACAGCTAATAATCAAGACATACAGTACTTGATTCTTGAGCTAGTAGGATCAAGATGAGCATCTATTGATACCTCAAAACTCCATGGATATGTTTTAGATTTACCATATCTGGGGCACAATTGAATGACCAACCACTAGATGGTACCAAAGGCATACAGAAAACTAATTCTTAGGGGTGAAGGCATCTGGATTTTTTCAGACCAGATTTGGAGACTCCACACATACAGATTATTCTTAAAACCATCTAAACAATTAGCTATCCCATTTGCTTTGTTCCACTACCAGAGATGGCAAGAGGATTAGGGGACAAGGTTTTATAGCTTTATAACTAGATCCATACAAAAAACCCATAAAGTTATATTGTAGTTTGTTTGGATTTTGCTTAGCATGTTGTGTGAATTTGCTCAGTAGGAATGCTAACTTGTGTTTTATGGATCAATATCAGTGGTGGGTTACGGCTGGTACGCCACGGTACGGGCATACCGGTGCCTGCTGGGAGCACCATGTAGCATTCTGGTCGGTGCTTCAGAGGGCCCACCCACCCCCCTTACCTGTATTTGACGCAACCGGGCCATTTGCACACACACATACAGCATAAGGCGCCTGCGCGATGCTCCGCTGAGCAGCTGAAGTGTCGCAGGTTGGTAGTGCACACACACCTGGCCCCGTCACAGTGTACCAGTTGCGAAGGGATCCAGAACCCATCACTGATCAATATATTAGCCAATTAATTTATTCAAACCATAATAAAGTAAGCATGATTTAGCAACATGCACAAACACTTCCTAAAAGATCCAACATGCAGCTCAACATACAAATTACACATACCAAAATTTCCCTTCCTTACGTATGAAAGATGCAGATATTCTTTTTTTTATAATAACATCACAGTTACCCACACTTGTATCTGTCCAAATAAATAAAAATCATGAAAGGAAGCAGACACTGAATCAATTTCTCGTGAAACCTTTACAGCGAACACTTTGCTCAAAATGAAACATTTTCTTGAAGAATGCAAACCTCACTTACCTACTCTGGCTTTATGAATATGGAGGGCTACAATTCCCAATTTTCCTAACCAGTATAACTGGAAAAATAGGATTAATATAAGCTATGGTAGTAAAGCAAATGTAGTATTAAAAATCAAGTGGTTATGAGAGTTCTCTATGTTTGAATTATAGAAACATCTTTGTTTTCATGTATTCTGTGATGGCGTCTTATTCATTTTCTGAAGAGTTTATAGAAACCATCTTCTGCCCATATGACCAAGAAGGAAAAGATTATTTACCTATTACATTAAACATTAAAATCCACTGCCAATTCTTGTGTAATTCTTGGTAGTAGACTGAGATTTGGGGGGCTTGTACAGGAAAGATTGCAGTCATGAAATTCTTTTTATATCAAATTTAGTAAATAATAATCCAAGCCTGTGTCTACCCAGGACTATGGCCAAATAAATTCAAGGGGTTTGCTCTGAAGCAAATGGGTACAAAATCTAAATCTTTACTTAATAAATTGAATATAGGTTGTAGGAGACCTCACTGAGCCAAGCAAATCATGCTTCCAGATAGACATGTCAGTCATTATCCTATTATTTTTGTATGTTACTACAACACTTCTTACTATTATAGGGCTAATGCTTTCAGAAGATTTAAGCGCAGCATCAACCTGCAAATGACACGAACCTTCTCTTTTAGAGATCTTAGGAAGAACTCTGAATATAAATTTTGACACTTGCACTAATTGACTCCATACTCATACTAATACACAATAAATATCTTACAAGCCAGTCTTAGGTGATGATTTTACATGGTGTCCTAACTCTTGTTCTTTTTCTTATTTTGTATTCTGTTTATATACTGTATAATTCAAGGCAACAAACACACCTAATCCACCTCCCATTTTCTCCATAACAACAACTGAGGTGGTTGGTCTGAGAGGATGACTAGTCCAAAGTCATCCAGCCAGTTTTCATGCCTAGAACTTTGAGCTGTTGCTTTAAAAAGGCTATTTTCGCTGACCTTTCCCTTTCCCATTGCAGCTTGCATTCTGGCATTCTATTAAATCCTTTGGAAAACATTCCAAATGTGGATGATCAGGGGTGTCAAACTGGCAGCCCAAGGACTGGATGCGTCATGCGCAGGCCATGGCCACCTCAGCTCCACGAAGGGGGGAAACGCCATGTGATGGAAAAATGACGGCTGCCAGTTTGACACTCGTGATCTAGTAAATGTTTTCAGAGTTGGCATTTTCATTAATTAACAGCAGGCATGTCCAACCTTTTAGCATAAGAGTTGATTGAAAGCAACAAATGAACACCGTTTTATGTGCATGTGTGGGTATCTTCAATTTTGAGTCCAGGTGATTGCCTGGACAAGACCCAGCAGTTTTCTTGGTAACATTTTCAAAAGCTGTTTCCCTTTGCCTTCTTAAGGCTGACAGTGTGGGATTGCCCCAAATATTTGTTGGCTTCATGAGTAAGGCAGAACTAAAATTCAGAATCTCTTAGTTTTTAATCTGGTATCTTTTAGCCACTGCAGCAAACTGCCATTTTAAGAAAAGTAGGTTAATCTCCAAATATATTTTGTTTAAGTTAGAAATCAAATAAAAGCAAATTAGAGGATTAGAGAAACTGTAATGTGACAATCCCTGGTTCAGGAAAGCACGGATTACTTGGAAAGGAACTCCCACTGAATTTCCTAATAAGGAAATCTGAATGACTGTAGGAAAGGAGCGATATGGAACAACATACAGCGCAGCTCCAAATTCAGATTCTTACTTGATTTTCTTCATGATATTCTAGCCCTATCATTCTAGAAAGAATGTAGGAAAATTTACTTTTATTACGGTTTACAAAATATGGATTGCAAACATACAACCGACCACAGGGTGGCAGATTTTCCGCAGTTTCCTTGCTGATATTTAATGCTTACAACTCCCATAACGTCGCTCATTCAGCTGCGGAATTTGCGCACCGCACGCACATCACTTAGGTTAGGAAGATTGCGCATGCGTAGCAAAAGAGGAAGTTGGTCTGGCCATTTTGCCATCATGGCAGGATCAAACTCGGAAGGTGGGTCGGTCGAAGCCGATCCACCAGGATTCCCTCCTCCCATGGAGGGCCTGCAGTTGATCCAGCAGGGAGCCGAAGCCCGCCTCTATCGGGGCCAATTCTTAGGCAGGCCGACCGTGATGAAACTCCGGTTCCCGAAACGTTACCGGCACCCAACGATGGATGAAAGGCTCAGCCACAAGCGAACGGCGCAGGAGGCCCGTTCGTTGCTACGCTGTCGACGGGCAGGTGGGGCGGGGCTTCGCCAGAGATTGGATGAGGCGGGAAGTGGGTGGGCTCCACAGGGCCGCCAATCAAAGAAGAGTTAGTTCCGCTGCCCCCCTCCCCAATAAGTATGTAAAAGAGCAGCGATTCTACTATATTCTAAATAAGCTAAAGGTGGAAAATCAATCAGCAATGACAAAATATACATATATGTTTCATTGTCCTTCGAATATTGATCAGTTTTTATTAGAACTTGATAAAAAGTTTTTTACTTCCCTTAATTGGAGGGACTGTCTGAAATGGCTAAGGAATCAGATCTATTTTTTTTAAAAAAATGGATAGGTTAAGCATGTTTCAATGTGTCGTATTTGGAAAAGATACACACCACCTCTTTTTTCAATATTACAAAAACATTTTTCTATAATAATTTTCGTTTTTCATTTATTAATTCCATTTGCTGCCATCAATTTAATTTCTCATCGACATTGTCATGATATGGGAAGTATTAATGGTAGAAGCCAGTGATATATTAAGTATGTTCCTGATCAAGTACAGCTTGTGTTTTACATTTTTGCAATTAAGCTTAGTAAACTAAATCGGATATCAGACTGCTAGAAGATGGAATTGTGCTTTGGGCATTGGCTATGACCCTAGTGAGCTTCATACTCAGCCATGGAATCTCATTAGGTGATTCGGAGCCAGCTTTTCATCTCAGTAGATATCCTTCTTTAAGGGTGTTAGAGAAAAACGGAGGGCAGAGTGTCTTGAAGGAGGAAAGCCAGGATGCAAGATTTATTGAATAAAACATGCCAGTTTTAAAATCAATATTTTTTTGCTCAGACTTTTAAAAACATTTCTTAGTCAGATATTGTCAATATATGAGCATCCCAGCTTTCCCCTTCTAGTCTAGATTCTGTAGCTTCTCATAACAGCCACTACAAATAGCATGGCAATGTGTTGGTTTTTATAGCTCAAAAGCAAGAAAGATTATGGCATGCAATAGCATATGCCAGTCATAAGGGAAAGGATAGAATGGTAACAGGTTTGTCTGGAACAAGATTAGCACCGAAAAATGCTTTCTTCATAACCTTAGTCTATCTCCTGAGATGGTGTAATATATTCCACCACAAACTAATGATTTTTATTACCTTCTTTTTAGGTATTTCTGCACCTGTTGTGTACTTTGTGGACTATGTTGTCAATTGTATATATCTTGAAGACATTGTAGGATCAACTACTGTTCGAGACTATATACTCTTCCAGCAGCAATCTGGTGAAGGTATCAGCAATCTTATTCAATTAGCTGAAAAGATAGGGGAAATATTGGCAGGAATGCATGATGAAGACCTCATACATGGGGATCTCACAACTTCTAACATGCTTTTGCGACCACCAGCAGAGAAACTGGAGTTGACATTAATTGATTTTGGACTAAGCTTTATTTCTGGCCTTCCTGAGGATAAAGGTGTTGATTTATATGTCTTAGAGAAAGCCTTTTTGAGTACCCATCCAAACACAGAAGCTCTGTTTGAAGCACTGTTGAAGAAATACTCAGCTGCATCTAAAAAATCAATTCCAGTAATAAAAAAGCTGGATGAAGTACGATTAAGAGGAAGAAAAAGATCTATGGTTGGATGAAGAATGCAGACAACAAAAGGAAAAAAAAGCAGAGGAACTTAAATTTTATGTGTGCTTTAAATATTTTCAGTTATGTCTAATAATAAAATTGAATTTGGTTTTTTTACTTCATATTTATGTACTGGAATGTTATTACTAGATTTATATAATAATAGTGAAAAATTCAAGAACAGAAGTTGGTATTTGCTTCTTTGTAATCTGTTTGTTTCCTGAAATCGGTTGGAATTTGACCCACAGTCCTATTGTGAAGGTGTAAATCCTTGATGTAATACCTTATGCAACCCAGTCATGATTCAAATAATTTGGGCCATTTCAAGGCTTGAGAGTTCCTATTAATTTGCATCACTCCCTTTTATGCCAAGAGTACATTTATGGCCTCAGTAAATATTGTTAATACCTATAGGGTTGGATATCCCTAAATCTGTTGCAATCTGCTGCAATTTTATTGTATACTATGTATTCTCAACATTCATTTATTAGATTTGTTTGCTGCACATCTCACCTTGGGGCCACATGGCAATTGGATAGGAATATGCCTGTGACTATTCCTCTTGTTTCCTGCCAGACTTCTTGTCCCCTTGACCACTTACTCCTTTCATTAGTATTTAATAGTAAGTTGAATCATGCAAAACAAAAGGTGACCCCCATCCTCATGTTTATTTCCAAGAAAGCATCTGATTTTCATAATCTTTGGTTTCTGCAGTCCAGTACTTTTTCTTGATGCTTATTCATCTTCCTAAAATTAAAAGATAACTAAGTGTACTTAGTGGGAAATGTGGCAGGCATCAACCGATACATGAGCAAGTGGGAATGTCATTAATAGTACCTCTATTGTGAAAGTGCCCCTGAGGTTCTTGACATTTCAAATGCATGTATTATTCCAGAGAGGTTGAGGGTCATATGTTCATTTTTCACATAAGCCCACTTTGAATCCAATAAGAGTTTGCTTCTAAATATATCCGTGGAAGATGGACTATCTGACTGCAGTTCTGAGTACTGGAAGCAATGAAATAATGTTTTGCGCTTCTTGGTAATTTTTGTCTTTTGGATTTTAATTTAAATGAATATCCTGTTGAAGCTATTAGGAAGGAGATCATATATCACCTGAAGGATTACAATAGATCAGATGCTAGTCTAGATTCACTCTAATACATTCTCCCTCTTCAAATGATAACAGAATATCAAGAATTTCCCCCAAAAATATAAAAAGGGACTAACGTTGGATTTCCTTCAAAGTTGGAGCTTATTTGAGCTTTCAGAACGGAAAAATTTAAAAAATTGCACAGGCTATGTTACCTTCTCAGAAACCACAGAAGTGCAACCTAATATATATTTGTATAAATTGTTACAAATTACTAATAACATTTAGCAGTTGCTTCTTACTAGGTTGGTGAAATGAAATAAATTCTGGAAATTCATTTACAGAACATTTAAGCTACATGTTTCCCTTTTCTCCTGTAGCAACCTTTACTGAATAGATAATAAAAATACAGCTTTTATTATTCCTATAAATAATTCAATACAGCGAACATACTTAAAACACCTCCTATTTTCCCTAGAACAACTGAGGTGTGTTGGGCTGAGAGTGACTGGCTCAAAGTCACCCATGTGACTTTCCTTAGACTTAATTATGGTAATTAAGTAATTAAATTGATTAACATTTATTAATTAATGGAACGACAGATTTTTTCTGCAAATTTCTTGTAATAATTATCTGGCAGGTATAAGTATAATCTTTATTGTTATTGTACTTAAATACAATGAAATTGGTTGTAAATATTCGTTTCCCAACATGCAGTATTTCCCAGAATTAGAAGTGCAAATGTGCACAAAAAAATCTTTACGTGTGCATTGCCTGCCTGTTACGAAGTTGTTAAGAGAATACAATACTTATAGCAAAGGAAAAAAGGGGCAATGCAAATAAATACCGTCTTCCATAAAAGCTTTTTTTAAAAAAACGTCTTTTTTCCCATTTGGCAAACAATACAAAGAACAGAACGCTAAGGTTATCATACAGTAGCTGCTTTAAAAAAAATAGCTTAGTTCTGTGTAGATTTAGGGCCTGGTAAATTTCAGCCTTAGACAGATGCATGGATGCAAAGTTTCTTACAAAAAGTGGCCAAAGCACCGGGAGAAAAATAATATATATTAATCAGGCACAAGTGAGGTGTTTTAGATAGGAAAAAACAATATATATAAATAAGGCAGATACAGGTGAGGTGTTTTAGTTAGGAAAAAATAACAATAAGGCAGATACAAGTGAGGTGTTTTAGATAGGAAAAAACAATATATATAAATAAGGCAGATACAGGTGAGGTGTTTTTAGTTAGGAAAAAATAGCATACTAATAAGGCAGATACAAGTGAGGTGTTTCAGTTAGGAAAAAACATAAGGCAGATACAGGTGAGGTGTTTTTAGTTAGGAAAAAATAGCATACTAATAAGGCAGATACAAGTGAGGTGTTTCAGTTAGGAAAAAACATAAGGCAGATACAGGTGAGGTGTTTTTAGTTAGGAAAAAATAGCATACTAAAAAGGCAGATACAGATGAGGTGTTTTAGTTAGGAAAACTAGCGAGTGGGAACGGATTGGCTTTTCTCCTTGCATATGTAGTACAGTACATATGATTCCGTGTTCCCTCCGCTCTCCTATTCAAGGCGTGGCGTTACAGGCAGCAGGTTGTCTGCTGAGTTACTTAGAAGCGCTACACTGGAGTAAGCGCGTGCCGCAGCTGTCCCGGTTTACATCTGCCCTCTGAGACGCCCTGCATTTAAAATATTTGACAACTCTTCCAAGAGACCTGGTGGGGGCGATGGACTGAATCGGATTTACTCTCCCGGTGGGTTGCAAATGTCGAAAGATCGTATAAACTTCATGAACGGCCACAACACTCCGGGGTTGAAGCTGATCGTCACCCCAGAAAAATGCCGGGGGAGGAAAAATCAAGAGACACCAGAACGACGGTTACGACACCAGAAAATAAACAACGTGCCCATAAAAGGACTCAGCAGAATCCGCTTCCATCTTGTTCGCCTAAAAACACTTCCGGCGCCTTCAAAACTACTATAGCTCAGCGGCAACGAGCAATTGTGGTTTCTTATGAAAGCTCGGTAGGTCCCGAGTTCGAGACCGCGCTGTGATACGCCGTCTTTTCCCTGCAAGCGTCCTAGCGCCTGAGACTGCTCGTGTCAGAGGCGTATTCACTTACTTGCTAGAAAAGTTGCTCCAGGCCAAGTGCCCATTTCCCCGTGGATTCAGGGTTCCACCGGCCAGGGCATAATTTTAGTCCGCGATGATCATTTCTTCTCCGGTTCCCGATTGTTTTGGGTTCCTTGCGTGAGGGGAGGGGGCGCTGTAAGACATCCCAGGACTCAAACAAAAGGCAGAACTTTCTCTACCCCAATGCCAGCCCCGCGTCTTTCTTTCTGAATAGCCATGGGTCTTCTTCCAGCATTTTTTTTTTGTCATGGGCATGTCTAAGCCAGTGTTTTTCAAACTTTTCCCAGAATTCCCCAGCCAACCATGAATTCTTTCGGGAAGTTGAAGTCCATCCACCTGAAAGCTGGCAAGACTGGTCTACAGCACTTTTCTGCAGTCCCGGAACCATATATAAATCACCATTATCATCATCTTTTTAGCCATTGTCTATCCACTTCAGGATGGAAGCCTCTTCTACATGTTTCCAACCAATATTGAGTTTTCTTTTGCCAGTTGAGCCCGCAATACCTGCTGCTTCTTGCTATGTGATCAGCCCATTTCCATTTCATTTCTTTTACTCTCTTGATGATATACTTTCATTCGTTCTCTAATCCTTGTGCAGGTCTTTCTATCTTGTCTTGTAATGCTGAGCATGTATCTTTCCATGGCTCTTTGTGCCAGTCATAGCTTTAAAAAATCTGGCCCCTATCGTAATGAGTTTCTGTCCACACGGGAAGCTGATGGAGGGGGAAAGAAAGAGGCGGGAAAAATAACTACAATCTTTCTTGGGGCTGAAATATCCGATACTCTCCAATTATAGGACCAGGAGGGGGGGGAAGAAAAGTGCGTGAAATTGGTCTTTTGGGGTCTAGTTCTCTCCCTTTGCCTCCTTAATTCTCTCAATTTCAGCAAGTTTAAGAGGTGTGGACCTCAATTCTCAGAGTTTCCCAGGAGAACACTAGTTGAAGTCCACATATCTTAAGCTTGCTAAGGTTGAGACACAGTATTCTAGGGCAGTGGTCTCCAACCTTGACAACTTTAAGACTTGTGGACTTCAACTCCCAGAGTTCATCAGTTAGTAAGCTGAGGAACTCTGGGAGTTGAAGTCCAGAAGTCTTAAAGTTGCCAAGGTTGGAGACCACTGTTCTAGGGCATGGGGGCTGAAGAGCTACTTCTATGTATTTCAGCTGCTTTGGAGAACAAGCCCCACAATCCAGTAGTTCATTTTCACTATCAACACTGGAACTTAGAAGAGGTTTTCGAGCATGATGGCTGGGGAATTCTGGGAGTTGAAAGCCGTGTTTTTGTGTGTGTGTGTGTGTGTCAGGGGTGGGTTTCTCGCCCCGTTCCAACCGGTTCGGTTGGAACGGGGCCGGCGGCGTCCTCGTGCATGTGCGCAGTGCACGCATGCGTACTAGCGTCTGTACGATGCTCCAGCTGCTCCTGGAGGATTGCGCAGGCGCTGTATGCGTCCTGCGCATGCGTGGAAGCGCAGAACTCGTCAAAATCGGGTCAGGAGCGCGGGTGGGCGGTTGCTGCCTTCTCCGTTCCTGGAAGTTACTTACTTCCGGGTTCGCCGACCAACCGGTTCGCAGGGACCGCCACGAACCGGTTGAAACCCACCCCTGACACACACACACACACACAC